CTCTCTCTCTCTCTCTCTCTCTCTCTCTCTCTCTCTCTCTCTCTCTCGCCATTTCGCTTCGCGCGTCGGCCTGAGACCGGCCGCGTCGGCGTCGCGTCTTTTTTATTTCCGCGGCTTAATTTATTCCTTCTTTCATTCCGCATTTTCTTATTCTTTCCTCTCTTTAATTATCTCAGTTTAGAGAAACCTTGCCGCGATGTTGGTGATTAATTACACGATTTTGCCGAACGGCGATATTTCTGAATCGATTCGTCCGACTTCTGGGTCTCTTCTTTTCTCTGAACTAAAGTGTCGCCACATAGCGACATTCATCCTTTCCTTCACTTCACATTTTTTATATTTTGTTTTTAATTATTCCAGTTTAGAGAAATTGCCGATGTTGATGATTAATTACGTAGTCTCGCCAAATGATGACATTTCTAGATCGTCTCGTTCGAGTCGTGCATCTCGCTTTCTCTAAACTTGTAATGTCGCCATGTGGCAACATATATATTTTTATTAGCAGTGTGTAAAAAGGTGTCGAATAGGTAGTGTGTAATAGGTGTGTGAGTCAAACGATCGTAGTATCTCGAAATCACAGGCGGAACTTTAGGTTTTAAGGGAGGAAGAGGGCAGGTGACACCCCCGTTTATTATCTGTGTTTGAGAATCGATGGCTTAATTGCTTTTGTCGTTCGACACTTTTCAAGCTCCCTCGACATTGTGACGAGCAGGCAACGTCGAACCGTTCGCTTCACGAACGCCAAAATACACAAAACATCTCATTTTACTGTGCAGCTTCGTTCAACTGAGCGAGCGAGACGGAAAAAACGAATATAGAATATATATATATAAAATAATGTAACAATATAAAAGACAAACATTTATGATTTAAATTTAAATCATTTTCAATCAATTGAATCGTTTTTCTCTCCTCTTTTTGCTCGTTTCGAGATGTGCAAAAATAATACAAAATATTATTGTACGACGACAGTCAAGGGAGCAACTAGTAACACAACGTGTACGTGTGCAGCGTTGCGCACGTGCGCGCGAACATAGATTTGTGTTCGAATGAAGCGAGAAAGAGAGTGTAAAGTCTGCTAACAACGCTGACAAGAAATAAGTTGGGCAAATATCGGTGCGATCCTCAAACACAGGCGGGTTGCTTTGAACGTGCCGTGCCGTGCCGTTAGACACCTCTTGCCTCGCGGTTCTCGCTCGCTTCTCTTCTTTTTCCTTTTTTTCTCTATATTTATATCCCATCCGCACGCGCGCAAAAGACGTCAATTCAGACCGTGTCTCATCGATTCTGCGAATAACGTCAGCCGCACTATATAACTCCATCGAGATCGGGTAGAATTTGCATTCTACGTCTCGTATCATTTACGCGTGTCACAAAGCAGACCGAAGTGTCCTTGAATGCAAATTTTATTTTTCAAAATTTCAATGTAAAATATAAAATATTCTCCAAGTAAGAAAGTATATAATTTTTTTAAAACCTTAATTTTTCATGAAAGCAATTATTTATTCTATTTAAATAAATATGTTATTAATATTAACCAAATAGATTTTTTCATTTTTTATAAATTTTTTCTTTTTGTGTATGAAAAAACTGATTATTTTTTACTAATGACGTCAAATCCTCGTCATTAAATAACTCTTCATACACTTTACAATTTTACTTGAAAATATGTTTCTTGAAAAATCAATGCGTTTGGTAATATCATAATGATAATTATAATAATTTTGTTAGAATAGTTGTGTACTTTCAACAAAAGCGATAACACGCTCCCATTCCTCTAGAAGATCCTTTTGTATTATAAGAGAATAATCGGACGTTCTTTAACATAATTATTGACTGCAGACGAATAGAATTATATTGCGTATACAGTATCTTAGAAAGAAGAAAGTATAAGAAAGAAATTGAATTTCAAATTCCCCACACGTTTTTCCGAGGCACCCCGCTCCCGTCTATGTTGCGAGATCTTCCATGAAGATCTTTACGAGGACAGATCTCGGATCCCTCGACCGTGTCGCTCGCGTCGCTAAAGGACGGCTATGAAATTGTAAGAGAGCGAAGCAAGTACATTAGCAAGTCGCTACGTCGGCAAGCGCTGTTTGCATTATGAGCCGAACTGTACTTTTACGCAGCGAGATACCACGAAACAATGCAAGACACGCGTGCAAATATGGGCGCGCACCTCAAATGGGACATTCCGATGTTTCTTGGTATTGCTGCCACCAAACGTGGCTGGGACCTGGCTAACGATCGCGCTGTCAACCGAACCGATGTCATATAACACTCGCTTTATTTTTGATGACGTTCAGTCGCTCTTAACGAGCTCGCTCTCGGATGACCATCATCAGCGAAAAAACTAAACGAGTTAAAAAAAAAGATAGCTCGGTAAGCTTTGGAAAGTCTGTATTTAAAGATGCCAACATGCCGACTTGTTTCGCATAACAAATTTCTTCAGACCTGGTTGGGATCCAACCCGGTTTTCTAAAATAGTTATTATAGATTTTAGTCAAAATTGTAATGTTCTAAACATGCGATTCTAATTGAAAAAAAATCAAATCTTTCCCAATATCTTTACCGGTTTTTCTTTTACGTTAGAGTTGAATGTTGACTTTCTAAATAATTTCTTCTTATTCAGTACAATATTCAATCTTAAAAATATTTTATTCTTTATTCTATTGAATACACAACAGTTGGCGTAAAAATGGGATTCCATTTTTACACCAAGTTTAATACCAAGAAAATATATTGACAGAGAATTCATATGTTTGGAATAAGAATAAGATTCTCAATTGCTATCGTAATAAAATGATTTTTAGGACTCGTCTTTTTCCAGAATATGAAACAGAAAGATCTGTATTTAATCTTATCAGATTTATCATTTTAAGAGCAATCTTATCAAATCGTTAAATAACGAGTCAAATCACTGCTGTACGAATCTTTCATGACGTTGAAATTGATGACGTAATGTACATTCGTATCGAATTTTCTCTGATGAATCAATCAACACGTCCCGTGCTAGATTAATTGACCTCGTCCACGTGACCCCTTGTAGCATATTATGAGCTAAATTTTATTTATCTCATAATAATTATGAAAATATTTCACTTATGAGACAAACGGTCTGTACAAAAAGTTCAACGTGTATCTCTGGTGACCAACGCGGCATGCAACATTACATGCAATGAGATATTAGTTTTATCAGAGTATTATCAGAGTCCTGCTTATCTATCGTTCCTTTCTCGCCGTATCAGAAATGTCGATCTTAAGCTGGTGTCCCTGATTGATAATCAGTCGTCAACTTTAATAGTCGAAAGGATACCCTCCCATTTAGCGAGATTGCGCGCGATAAGGAAGAGAAAGCCCTTTATCGGTATTGCACGCGCGATAAGGACTCGCGCGACACAACTCCCTTTGGCCAGCGGAATCTATCTAGGTAGCTGGTAGAAAAAAACAAACCGACCCTTATTTTACAGATCCGAGGCAATGGTCGGAAGCAGCTGTCGCCCACTGGTTACATTGGGCTATCGGAGAATTCTCGTTGGAGGGTGTGGCGGTGCAGCCGTGGCAGCACATGACCGGGAAACAGATTTGTGCCATGGGGAAAGAGTCCTTTCTAGCACGTGCCCCAGCCTTCATGGGCGACATTCTATGGGAGCATCTCGAGATCCTGCAGAAAGGTACGTGACCCTCGAATTAGCGGAACACATTCGATTTTCTCGAAAACATACCCATCAATCCTTGACGAATTCTTCCGTTTTGACTCTTATCAAATTATAGTCGACCTAATTATAGTCGACATGTATAATGGTGTTATGAGTGGACATGTTAGACATGTTAGAACTTAATAAATTTCCTGGAGTAAAATTTCACTCGTAAAAGTAGAGTGGCAACCGAGTCATTATCTTTCATTCCTACAGAGAGAATTCACCGCTCTGAAACATTGAATATTCACCCGAAATTGAAGAATCTGATGCATTCGATCGTCAGAGGAACATATTCACTCCAATCGATTGAAACCTCCACTCATATCCATTCTAATCTTGTGAGAAACATTCATTCTTTTGTGATTTCGAGTGGCAATATTTTCACTGTCGTCTCGAGTGAAACAGAGAATATTGCCACTTTTTACTTTTTCGGAGTTTTCGGTGAAATTTCAAAAAATTCAGAGAGAAGAATTATCAATCCCTACGAGACGATCATTTCCTGAGAAAATTTTTAGAAAGCTCGATGAGATCTCGAAAAATCGTTAATTTAAAATTCTCTCATTCTAAAATTATCTCTTAATTAAAGATGCTTTCACTCAAAAGTTTTTTACTGCATTAATCACGACGTGTAATTCAAATAAAGGTCGATGGAAAATTTTTGAAAGGAATTAATTATTTACATAGTACATCTTTAGCGCCCAAAACTACAAGTTTCTTTTCGGTTTATTTCCTAAGCGATTTTTCCGGAGACGTATATCGTACGAAGCTACCGAAGAAACCGATCTTGCGTTTCTCGCAACGCTCGGGTGGTTGTTGACAACCCCGCGTTGCGAATGCGGGGTTGACGGTACCTGTAAGAACTCGCACTCATCGTGCGCGCTACGCTCTTTTTACGCCGACCACCTTCCATCGTAGTCGACAACAAAACCGATCGAATTTCCGTAAAATCGCGATGTCTTGGCGGTGCAGCGCAACCAAGAAAGGAGACCCCGGCGAACAATAACGCGTACGATTGGGCGGTGCACGCGGGTGGCGATCGTCTCTCCTCCACCCCCGCCCCGTCGTATCTCCCATTTCGAATCGCTCCCCCGAACCTCGTTTTCACCGGTACCAGGACTCTACCGAATGAAAAAGAATAAAACCGGGGGAGAAGAAAGACAGAGCGCGCCATAGAACTCTCATCCCGGATATCCTGCGCTGCCGAAAACGCGCTGCAGCGCGCCATTGCCCCGTGGCCACTTAGGCGCTTCCCGGGTTGCGCATTACTCGCTTACACCAAAGAAATCACTCGGATTTCGATCTCGCGACGTGTCCGTCAATGGCCGAGGCCGCGCTCTCATTTTCGGATCCTCTTATTAGATCCTCCGTGTATGCTCCTTTATAGTGCGCGAGCGCGCACGCTGAAAGCGGCAAGTCAAGTTTACGGTTGCTGCGCGAATGCGCGCAGCCTGATCGATCGCATCATCGACAATGCGGCGCAAACTCGAGGGAAAATATTTGTGCGTCTTACGATCGCGGTTCCCTCGCTGACGATGGAGCCTATTCATACAAGTTAACTGAATTTCGAACTCTAAAACCGACACTATCACACACATTCAGAGTCGGTAGCTATCATATAGAACCATTTAGAAAACAGTATGCACCGTTGAAAAACATGAAAATAAAGAAGCTGTTACTTCCTACGTAATATTATCGATAACCGGAGATTACGATAATTTTATCCTAAATAACATAATACAGCTGCGGAACAATTATAGCTTACTAGAGCAAGATAAGGAGAGAAAAAAAGATAAAAATGCCGGGAGATGCTGCCGATTCGGAGGGGTGAGGGAAAAAGAAAGAGAGTGGAAAGAGAGAGAGAGAGAGAGAGAGAGAGAGAGAGAGAGGGGAAGGAATACAGATGTGGGAAGGGAGAATTGTGAGGAGAGATAGGTGCAGATCCTACGAAATGATGTAGCAGGAAGTAAAGGTACACTCGTGATTTAACTCCCGTTAAATCCAAGTGGATATCCTATGCTTTCTTATCGATTATTCATGTCGCCTCATCATCGGCGAAAACCATCGGCTTAATCGACTAACGCGATCTGAGACGAGCGTCTAACGGTAACTCTCCACACAAAACCCGAGATTCGTCTCGAATACGTAATCCCTCTCTTCGTCCCGAAAGGGAGCGTGATACAAACGCAGACAAAGTAAAGTCCGTAACATTAAGTTCGACGTCGACACTGAGAGAAACTCACACTGAAAGAAAAAATATCTGAAAATTAGTAATTAGTAATATATTTATTCGGTGAACGAAGAACAGCATATTCGCTTATACTAATATAAAGTGTGTTTCAAAGAAGAAAATATACACAGATTTTTCTTAAAATCTTGAAAAAACTTAAATTTTTCATGAAAGCAATTATTTATTTCGTTTAAAATAAAAGAATATAGATTTAGATAAATATGCTCTGTTGGTACCCATCAAAAATATTACCAATTTTTTTTTTTTTCAGTATAATGTGTCTTTCAATGAAAACTAATTCATATTTTACTATTATGGCATAATTCCGATGTCTCTGAGTGAAACATAATTTACATCCCGTATCTCAGCTAGCCACTCTTTTAAAATAAATCAGTAAAAATGTTTCTGACTGAATCAGTGAAATTTTACTGACGATCGGTACGAAGTATTCGCTAAAAACTTTCAGTAAAGACACTCTCGCTTTATTGCTCCGTCTTATTTCTCGTTGATTTTGACTAATGCAAGTAAAATTTCACTGGAAAATCTCTAATAGACAAATTCGCTATACCACACTGAGAAAAAATACTTGAAAATTTATTTGTGGTATACAAAGTTTATTTCAGTGAAATAAAGTTTATTTCTATGAACAAACTTTATATCCCACAAATAGATGTTCAAATATATTTTCCTCAGTGCAAATCCAACTTTCTGCGTTTTGTTTTGTTTTCCGCGATGGAATTAACGGCTCATATGCGCCTTGCGTGTAATGACACTACCTGTGTTCGCAAGGTGCACCAATAATAAGAACAATTGTCATTATTAACTGATCCTTTCAGCGAGATTTTACTGATTGCAGTGCTGCGCTCATAACTGAACCGCCAGTTATAAGTATAGCGTTCCAAGAAGAATACATCGATTGTACCTTGGAAAGCAACTGTGTTGTTTAATAACTTATAAATCGCAAACTGATATAAGCGATAAAACACATAAAATCTCTTTCGGAGATTGTCTCGAAGATCGCGTTCTTTCCCAAAGAACGAGGTTCGTCCGTAAAGATAACGTGTAACCTCGCAATTTTGATTTGGTACGAGAGAAGAGGAGTCGTGTCGTCTCTCTTTATCGTTCGTACCGCGATTATCGTCGCGTCCCGTGCGCGTTTCGCGGTATTAAAAAAAAGAAAAGAGGGAGAAGGCATTTTTCGTAATTACAGTGGGAGCGACGAGAGAAGAGCGGGATAAAAGCGCCCCGTTGCCTTCCACATTCCGCGCAATTTATTATTGTGCTACGAATTGTGAACGATGTAGTTGGCCGCCGCGTGATCTCTGACCGAGGCGACGGTAATTTAAGTGAGGCCTAGCGTGCCCGTACGCGCGTTCGTTCGTAGGCTCGCTCGCAGTCGCGACACGACGTGGGTAATCGCTTTGATTCCGCGAATGAGAACGGATGTTAGGAAACGCTCTTGCGTTGTAAAAAAGTAGAAACTAAAAAGTTGTATCTTCCTGTCGCGGTGATACCGATCGGATTCGCAGCGAAATTCATTAATGCGCGCTGTTTCGTCATCGACGAAATGAGCGGCGATTCGTTTGTTTTTTTTTTTTTTTTTTTTTTTT